TTATACTTCTGGGGTTTTGGGGGGGGGGGTTTTTGGTTGTTTTTTTGTTTTGTTTTGTTTTTCCTAAGCCTCAGGCTTTAGCCTTGCCATTCATTTTATCCTCTTATGGCTCTATCATAAAGGTACTCCAAACACCCTTAGGTGCACCGCCCTACCAGTATAAGCAAAGTAAGATGTAGATGACATTTGTAAAGATGTTGCAAGTAAAGTAATACCTGCCAGAGGGGACATTTACAGATAAGAACTTTACTGTTGTGTAGTGCTGTGTAGAAACAAAGAGTCCAAATCACCTCTAAAATGGAGAAAACTGACAAGCACTTATTCCTGTCCTAAAGGATGATCACATTCATTGTCACAGAGATCTACGGTCTATAAGAAAAGAGTCCTAGGGCTTAGGACACTTTTAGACCCACTACATTGTTTTTTACATAGCCAGTAGGGATATAGGATCATTATCCTAAAGGCCTGATGTCATTTCAGAAATAACTGATTCCCTTCAAAAAGAAATCTCAGTGCACTCCTCCAAGAAAAATATCAGACAACCTGCTGCCATTGACAACAAGATAGCAACTAAAATTTTAAAAGGGTAACTCAAACTCCAAATTCACAGAGAGCAACTTTATGAAATTATGTTTTCATTTGTGGAGGTTGGATTTTGCTTTTGTGTTATAAAAGTTACTAAAGTATGTGTAATAGAGATTTTTGGAATAACGTAACACTATATAGTTTGTTTCCGTTCCTTGATTTTTAGGGTCACAACAGCAATGTCCAAGTTTATGTTTTTTAACAGTAAAAGCTAATCACTGGTGTGCGTCTGAGGCCTGTGCTCTAATTTAATCCTCTCCGCAGCTTTACAAGGTGTTTTCAGGGTACAGATGAGATAGCTAAGGCCCTGAATTACTTTCCAGCTACACCGCTGGAAAGAGAGGTGGAAAAATGCCCTTTCTCTGTCTCAAAGCCTGTGGTTTTACTCCTTTTACCACCCCCTGCTTTGTCCATCTCAAGTTTGCTCCATGTTCAACAGGAATTAAAGGTGCTCTTAGTGCAGTCAAAGGGGTTGCTGGGGGGTAACTTGCAGGTGACTGATGAAACTCAAATGAAAGAAGGAGGTTACAAAAGTAGTGACAGTGGAAACAGAGAAAGTAGAGTTTTCAAATGTCACTTTACCAGGGCAGCCTGCCTGACCACCCTACTTAAAATAACATTCAGAGAACCCTCAAACACTCCCACATTCCTCACCCTGCTACTCACTTTATTTTCCATCCATATTGCTTATTCCCATGTGACATACTACACATTTCTTTTGCAGATTGTCATTTACTCCTTCCCATAAAAATGTCAATTACATGAAGACAGGGTTTTGCCTGTTTTATTTACCACTGTTTCTCTAGCAGCTGGTGCTGTGTCTTATGCAAAGTAGGCTCTTTAAAGAAAAAAAAAGAAAAGTCTGATATTTTCATTTTTTTCACAATAGAAAGAGAAGCAGGCATCCTATACAGGGTCTCATCAAGCTCAGTCCCCACTCGAGCCCATTCGGGTGGTCAGGAACACAAACATGGTCTTTCCTGTGGCTCCTACATTGTCGTTCAGCACCAAACTGCCCATGTCACTGCAGCTGGGCCCAAAGTAGGCTCTTAATATATTTGTATTGAATGAATGGATTTGATAAGTTCTTCTGATTTTGATTCCATCGACGTTGTTGGTGAATTGGATATAGTAGTGAAAGAAAAGTAAATCAAAGATGATTCTCAATTTGCTGGATCAAACATAGGGTAGATGTCAATGTCATTTAATTAAAGAGGAAGGCTAAGAAACAAACAAATTGGAAATTGGAGTAAGGGAGATAGGAAGTTCTATTTAGTACCTACTAACTCAGTGATGTGTAGATCAGTTATCTATTGCTACATTAAAAGATACTTTGAAATTTAGTAGATTTAAATAACAAAACATGTATTATGTCACAGGATCTCTGGGCCTAGAATTCAGATGTCATTTGGTTGGGTAGTTCTGGCTCAGCATCTCTTGTGAGGCTGCAGTCTAGATGTAGGTAGGTCTTAATGCTCGACTGGGGCTGAAAGATCCACAGCGCTGTTTTTAGACTCCAACTGACTGTTGACTAGAGTCTTCAGTTTCTTACCACATAGACCTCCCCAGAGGCTGGTCTTGATGTCACTTCACCCAGAGTCAATGGTCCAAGAAAAAAAGAGAGCCCAACAAGTGGCCCAATAGTATAGTGGTTAAGGGAGTCAGATTCTACATGGCCAACTATAATACAAGCCTCTGCCTCCGTGGCTTGAAAAACATACCAGGTGCATGTGCACATGTGCTCCAGATCTCAACAGAACTGAGAAACAGAGGAGAAACGATTGCAGCATGACCATGTCTGGGTGATGGTGGGGGAGGTTGCTTCCTCCCTCTCTCTCTATGTCTGGCGAATATACCTTTCTTCTGGCAATTAAAAAAGAGAGAGGAAGGGAAGAAGGAAGGGGAAAAAAAAGAAAGAAAACCTGAGATAGAAGCCACAACCTTTTAGAACCTAATCCCTGAAGTGGCATATCATCACTTCTGCTGCATGCTACTGGTCACAAAGACCAACCCTGGTGTGGTATGAGAGGGCGTGAATGCCAGAGGGGAATGCGGTTGTTGGGAACCATTGTGAAGCCTTCCTAACACAAAATCTCTGAGACGTGCATGTAGAAATGTCCTGTAGGCTGTTGGGTACATTATACTGTAGCTCACAGGAGAGATCTGCATGACTGATAATTAAGTGAAAATCATTATACATGAAGCTGCCAGGATTGTGTAAGAAGACCCGGGGAGAGAATATAGGTGAGGAAGGGAAGAGGACCTTGGACCCAATTCCAAGGAACATTTTGAGTTCAGTGGGAAGTATCTAACAGAGGAGGGTGACCAGTGAGGCAGGAGGAAAATCAGGACAGTGTATATTATGAGGTGAATTAACTGAAAGGTCGATTTCACTGGCCAAGTTTCCCCTTCTCCATGAAGAAAAACAAAATAGCTTGAATACAGAGAAGTGAAAAGCATTTCTGAAAAAAAAAATGCAGTGTAATACAAGATGTGAATAGTCAAATTTTGAGCCAGACAGGAACATAGAACAAAGAACACAAAGACAGAACATGCAGAGCCTTGGGAAATACATGCCTGTGTGTACTCGTACCTTCCAGGTCTGTAGCTGAGCCATAGAACTCTTGCAATTATTGTCCATTGAAACTCCATGTAAGGATGTTAGAGATGGCTCTTGGAATTATGCTTGAGGACAAAATGATGAACTATGTAAAATACCACACCCCCCCTGCTTTCCTGTGCTTTTAAGTGTCTTTTCCTAAAATGTCTTTAATATCTCACTGAACCACACAGTAGCAAGATGGAAATATCCTGATTAAGCATGTGTTTGCTAGAGAGAGAGAGAGAGACAGAGAGACAGAGAGAAATCTTCTGGGGGATGGCCATGCTGCAATCCCCTTTCCTCATTCTTCAGGATTTGGGGCACACATGCCCACCATGTTTTTCAAGCTGCCCGGTCAAGACTTAAACCATGATGTCAACCATGTGGGATCCAGGAGCCTTCACCACCACACCACCTGGCTGGCTCTCATTCTGTTTTGATTTTTTTTTTTTTTTTGGAGAGGTTTTTGCTATAGGGGTGCATGCTTGTCAGAAAGACAAAAACAGAGAGACAAAAAGTGAGAAATCACCCCCCAGGGGGGATGGCCATGCCACAATCCCTTCTCCTCCATTCTCTTCTTAGGATCCTGGGCACACATGCACACATGCCCTGCGTGAGTTTAAGCCACCAGGTCTGGGACTCAAACCATGGTCAACTACATGGAGTCCAGCAATGTAGCCATTATGCTATCTGCTGGTCCCATCATTGTGTTTTCTTTAGCCGTTCTTTCTACTGTATTTTCTGTAGCTACTGTAGTTTCAGTAGCTCAGGATTTTCTTTTTCTTTTTTTCTTTTCTCTCTCTCTCTCTTTTAGCTAATTTTTTCCTCTCTGAGAGAGAGATGAAGAGAGAAAAGGACATCTTCAACAGGGTCTTCACACCATGATCTACCCACATCACAGGCACATCCATTCCCAGCATGTTCAATGATGTCTCTGGATGTGAACTCAGAATCTTCCCACATGATTCAGCCTTGCAGGACATTGCATTACCACCTTGTCACCTCCTGGCCCCTATGTTTTTTCAGTATGACTTTAATGACAGAAGTCTTCTTATTCATAGATACACTCTCTAAGTCAGAAGGAGAAGCCCCTTTGATTCTGACTACTGTTTCATAAAAGCTTTGCTTGCCCAAGTACAAATACCTATCTACTCAGTGTGGGAATCAAGAGGATTATCCAT